ATCATCTACATAGAGATCCCTCTAATGCACAAAAACTAGGTAATCACACACACACACACACACACACAGAGTTAACTGCACTAGTAACTTTCTATTTAAGGTTTTCTAAATCATCTAGGAATAAACATTTCTTAAGCATACTAATGTTCAATTTAAATTTTTTGTGGAATCTTCTCATATACTGAGTGAAATATTTGAAAAATGTTCGTATTCTCCCCTGCTTAGGTAAATCCTATTCAACTATTTAACTAACTCCATATATATCAATCAAGACTAAACACAAGAAAATCTACCAGTAAGTAACATGGTCCCTAATTCACATACACTGGGTTTATGCTTCTGAAAAATGACGTAAAAAAATATAGGCATCATTTCTTGGGTCTACTGTAAGTGTTCTACAATTGTTCTAAGATAACTAGTATTGAAATATGACAATAACCTATCTTGATCAATTTTATCCCAGCACCAGTTTTAGGCACTTTCTTTTCCCTATTACATAGAGATGGTTAAACACATGTGAGTACAGTAAATTATCACCGGATGAAGAACAGAGGGGGAGGAATAGGGAAGGGGAGGGGCTAACATCATTTACAGTAACACTTACCCACAGGGAAAATAAAACAAGGAAATGAGGCAGGGTTAGAATACCAGAATATGAAAGTAAGACTGGATAAGCAGTCTTTTATCAGAACGTAAATTTTAACAAAAATGGAATACATGTGGCTAATGGAAGTAGATGTTATGCTATTACATGCTACAGAAAACCACCTAGATGAAAAACAATGAATAAAAATCACAGTAATGGAAAAAGACACAAACAACACAGAGCAGAAAAATAATGAACAGAAAGGGATAATTAAGAGTCGGAGCCGCCATGCGCCAGGAGGGCCGGCTGCAGAAATGCGTCACTACATCACTTGTAGCTCCGCTCTCCCATCTATGAACACAGAGAGCCAACACCAACTAAAGAAGAAAAGCCATCAAAATCAACAAATGAGACAAATGTAAAATGCAGCATTTACACCAAACAGTAAACTAATTCTAGCATTTAATTCTAAATTCACAATGCACATAGGCTTATTAAATTAACATGTGTGGTGTGGAGGCTGAGAACTGATCCTGGGCCTTGTACATTTTAGACAAGAGTTCTACCACTAAGCTGCATCCCAAATCCCACATCCAGAATGTTTTTAGAAACTAGCAAAACATGTAGAATGACTTTTGGAGGTTGGGAGCTTTCACATTCTTGACAACTAAAATAAGTAAAGACAGAAGAGGATCATGACTTTAATAAAAAGATGTGTCTGGCCTATTTTAAAGACAAAATACATTTAAACAAAACTATCAACTTTTGCACAGGGGAATATTTAGTTTTGCCCCCACTAAGCACAATCACACTGGCAGCAGAGTTTCACGTTGACTGTACATCGAAAACCTGGATATAAATATCATTGCACGCTATAAAATTCTTCTCCTAATCATACTTAGATGTAAGAAAAATACTATACAGAAGCTCTATTAGAACTAGAGATAAGGTTCAGGGGTTAAAGAGCACTGGCTACTCTTGAAAAGGACCTGGGTTTGATCCCCAGCATAAACATGGAGGCTTATGAGTATCTGTAACTCCAGTTATAGAGCATCCAACACCCCCTTCTGGCCTCCACAGGCAACAGGCATGCATGGCATCCACATACATACATCCAGACACACACACACACACACATACACATAAAATAAATAATTTTTAAAATGGGGGCTAGAGAGATGGCCTTGAGATTAAGTACACATGGTTCTTCCAGACGACCTGAGTTTAAGTCCCATTTCCCACGTGATAATTTACAATCATCCATAACTGCAATTCCAGAAAATCTGAAGCATCTTCTAATCTCACAGCATCTTCTAATCTCACAGGTACCAGGGACCAAGAATGTTCTGCCTACACTCATATCATAAAATAAACAAACATTTTTAAATAATTATAATTTTCAAAGCAGCAGTTTATAAGTCAACAAATAAAACTTTGCTCTCCTGGAACTAAGTAACAACAACGACCTTTACTGACTTTATCATTATCTGTTCATAATATGAAAAAATAAACCTTGTTCATACAGAACATTAATCCTAAATCAGAGCCAGACAATGGGAACTAGGCTTTCAACTCATTCAGCTTCTTCTGTCAAGGTCATTTAAACCCTGCTAAACCATGACCACAATCTACCAGTAGAGGATAAGGAAGAGACCACCTTCAAATTATTGATCTTGAAGATCCAAAAAACTAAAAGCAGCATATGTCCAAATGCAACAAATTCAAAGGCAATTTTTATGTTTGAGTTGACAACATAGACTTATACAATGACATCTTAGTGGAAACTCTAAAACACATAGTTCACAGGGACCGACAATCTTCCAGAAGAAAGACAAGAAAAAGCAGCCAAATAATTACAAGCAACCTGCTACGTTAATATTGAAGTTATTCAAAAAAATAAATCATTTCCTTAAATTTCACTATAAGAAAACTATGAGGTTACTACAAAAAGAAGTTCAGTTTTATAACGGTTAATTAAAAAATGTTCCCACCTCATTGCTTTACATATTATTCAACCAGATCTATTTGAGAAATAACTACTTATAACTAAATAAGGAAGGGGTCATTAATAAAATTTCAGAATACTGAGACTAAGATATTAACTACTAGAGAAAAGAAAACATAGTACAAGACCTTCTGTTTGTGACAAAATTATAGAACTAATGTTCCTGAAAGATCACTTCACCTTTTAAAGCACAATTCTGTAAAAGGTAAAATTTATAGCAATTAAAGCTAATGAAGAAATGCAGCATAGCCTGCTTATGTTCAGGAACTAATGGGTCCACTGAGCATTTGTAAGATTATTTAGCCATCAGTGATAATGAATTGACACTGTCAGCAATGTTAATGTACCAATGCTCTCCTGTGTCAGAAGTAAGAGCCAGTCCCTACTTTTTGTTTTGTTCTCTATTTTAACTTGTGTTACTCTACTGCACCTAACACATGAAACATAAACAACCAAAAACATCATTTCATGAAAATTAAATTGCCTGGTCCTTTACTGCTCTATTCAACCTTACTGATCAATCCTCTTCAGCTTTCTGAAACTTCTTCAGAGCTTCTGGCTTTACTGTAAGGCTCTGGACACTACTAAATTATTATGTGTGACTTTTAGACTGGACTTATTTTTAGAAAGAAAGAGAATTAAAACTGCACAGGAGGTGAAATTTAAAGCCTAACTGTAAGTCTAAAAATTAAATACTAAAATCTAGTATGCTTCACTCACATACCCTTCACACACACACACACACACACACACACACACACACACACACACAAAAAACCACTACAATGAAGCTGTCTGTTGCAAACATAAGATTCAATACACTCATATTTACTTCCATTCTATATCCTGATGATGAAATATATGAATTACTGCATTTCCTCTGTGTATGTACAGTAATAAGCAATCAGCTAAAAAAGTATATTGTTCAAATTATACATTTAAGGCCAATTAATTATAAACTATTTCTGACACTATGTATATAAAATATGATTCTCAGGAAAAGTTTCTTTTTCTCTTTCCAATATTATTTACCCTAAATTAAAAAATGGATAAAAATTAGATTTCAGCTAACCTAATTTTGCAAAACAAAAAGCTTTGTACTTATTTCTCACAAATGGGAAAGAAACTGCTTCCTGCTTCCTAATGGCACATCTTCACTGGAGTCATGATCATCTCCTATAACTCAGAGAATAACAACAGTAAGTGAGATATCTTTTAAAATTACAAGACCTATAGAAATTAAAATGGACCACTTGGGACTTGACCTCAGCAGCTAAACTCAGTAGTAACAAAACTCATTCTCCAACTGATCAGGAGTGGCTCCAGGGCAAAGGCCCATCTTCAATTTACTTTAGCTGCAAGTCACTGAACCATCAATTTGGCCAATGAATAAATCAAGACTAGGGTTGATAAAACTGCTTGCAAAGTTATTTATAAAACTGTCTTAAGGGTCAAAAAATGAAATTGTATTCTGGGAAAATGTATTGTCCAATAAAAAGCAGAACTATTCCTGACTTGAAGGCTATTTACATGTTCATGTAAACCTGAAGAGCCTTCTACATAAGCATAATATTGGACCTATGAATGTCAGATTTCTTAAGTTTCACGTAAAGTATTTTATATGATGTATTTATTAATTTCTCTAGCATAATAACATTAAGATATATTTTAATAAGAAGTAGAGTATTAAAATCCACCTCTGAATGTCCTGTGATACACCATATATGTCACAGTATTTTAAAACCTTTTAAACATTTCTGCTAAATTAATTAGTTTTACATTAAGGTACCTCAATGCTTTCTATTAAATGTAACATATCTGAATGACAATTAAACATTGTGAATGACTCTACAAAGAATCATGAACTATAAAACGAAACTAGTTTTGAAATCACAGGACACAAAAATACATTATACACTGCTTTACCACATCATCCCTCAAATGATAGTAACCAGGCATCTGAAATGAAATCTTTTGTTTTTCCTTGTAAAATACATCCAATGAATCCAAAGAGCCATTAATGTGATTAAAATTAAGACAGTATAGCAGAAGGAAAAGAAACACACATATGCACTCCTAAAGCTGTATTATCTGGGGGAATTTTTTGTCTTTAAATGGAATTTATAGTTCTCTCTGGCAAAGTGAATGAACATCCTATAATTTAGTCAATTTACAGATTACAGGTTCAAATTGACCTTGTAGCCCATAAAATTGCTCATCTTCAGCACAGGATTAGAAGTGGGAGAAGAATGTCATAACTGTATTTAAGGAATTTACCATAACAAAGGAAAGGAGGATACGCACGCATAATTTTCGCCACTCTTACTCATATCAGTTTTGAATCTTCAAACAATAGCTATCCCGCACACGGATGCTGGCTCACACAGCAGAGGTGCCTTATTTACTCACCCACAGACGTGACACTTGTACTCCCTCATCCCAAGGTGCCTTTTCACATGGTTTCTGGCATCTCCAAGCTGAGCTGTTGCAAAATGGCATATCTTGCACTTGAATGGTTTTGATCCTGAGTAAATTTAACATAAAATAAGATTTGGACTTGAATCACATATTACTGATAAGATTTTTAACTGTGGAAGGCAAGCTAAATCTTAAGTAATACTACTTTCAATCTAGTTAAGATTTGCTGTCCCCAAAATGGAATACATGCATTCATTTGTAACTTTCTTGATCCCATACTTATCTCACGCATACAGGTTTTAATGTTTTAGTGAGTTTTCCCAATTCTCAATTCTATTTCTAAGATGTAAAGTCAAAAACTGAATGCCAGTAGACAGTTTAAATGAGACAAATAATGTTAAGTATTTTTCATACAACTGACAAAAAATATTTCTTGAAGTAGTCTACATAATGATGGAACATTTTTAAAATACAAATACAAAGTCACTGGTGTGTACGTCAGTGTATCACTGAAGGTATTTCTCAGTACTCATCTACTCTCCTCACATTTCTCCAGCTTTGAATTCAGTTTCACAAAAACAGTGGTACAAACGTTCTGTCCCTGACCTCAATGAGTCGCCGTATTAAATGTCACTACATCTTCACAGACATGAGACACAGCATATAACTGCCTTGTTCTTGTTATCATGTCAGAGTCTATGGTGAATTCACAAACCACAAGGGTTAACATCTTGGTTACTGAGTTCACTAACAAATACTTCAACACAAGAGGATCAGTAACAACAACAACATATTTTAAATAATTAATTAGAAAGGAGTGAGATTAAATATACTCCAAAACAAAACGTAAACCCTTTCAGAGTTGCTTAGCACTACTGTGAGTGATGGAAAAGACACCATTCATTCATCAGTTCCACATTAATGAGAAATAACAATGTCTTAAAAACATATGTACAGATTGTCTTCCAATTTTCTAAGTACTACTACATCTTAAAGGAAATCAAAACAATAAAGACCACAGCTTAAAATCATTACAATGTCTCTTTATCGTGACTAGTATGTAACTTGAGAATTAACTCTTCCAATATGGTAAGAGTATGAAACATGTAAATTTCAAAAGTTACAGAGTACAAATAAAAAAAAGTTTCAATCTTTGATCAATGAACTTGTGTGGTGTCCTGAAAAAGGAAAAAAAAAAAGATTGAAACTAAAGCACTCAAGAAAAAAAATTACTCTCTTAAATTTGAATTTAGTTCTCAAAGGTGATCAAAAATGTAAAGCATTTAATTTTAACCTTCCAACATACATTTAAGAAAAAGGTCAACAGCACTGTGTGGCAGACAAGGCTGAGCACTTCCCTGTCTGACGACAGTGAAACAGATCTCACAGTGCCTCATTTCTATGGTTAGGAGGAGGTGTAAAATATATCCAACACCTAAATGGCTCTATCTAGTAACACTTATATGTTTGAATATCAAAAGCAAGCTGGGATTCTAGGTTACAGCAATAACATTCTAGCAATCATTTTAGAAACTATTTTTTAATAATTTATTTAAATGATCCAGATAAAACTAAACCAATCAGCACTTTGAAATATATGAGAGACAGAATCCCATAATGGAATTTTGGAAAAATAAGAATCAATCTGTCTGTGGTTTCAGTTGTAGTGTTTTTTTAAGAACAACTTGGAAATTACTAACAAACAATAGTATCAAGATCTCAAACAAAAAGGATAAAACTCCCCCAACATTTATCTGCAGGATGACTTGGAGATGCAGACATAAACACCTGGTGGCCCTGACAGCCCCCAAAATCTGACTAGGCCTGCTCGGGTGGCACTAATGCCAGTGAGCACACAAAAACGCCTGTGCAGAGCTCTGAGGAAGTCCTTTCTTAAGTCTCAGGGCTCACTGGTGCAGTGCATGGACCCCACACAAATCAGAAATTCTGCAAGCTGCTGCACAGAGAAAGTCAAGGAGACCTCACAGCTGACACTCATGATCCTAACCGCCTGTCTAAGGTGTCCTTCCTATGCCATCAGCATTCAAGGAGCAGCTGAGCTAAGGCCTCCCTCTGAGAAAAGGAAGTCTTTCCTTTTACTTCCTTAAAGATAACATTTTGTTCTTAAACTTGCCATATGATACACATTATAAAATGGGTCTACACATGTTTATATCACCAAACCTACAAAATCACATATTTCTAAATTTGCCTTTCTCTCAGGTGTATTTTAGTATTAAAAACATCCAGGATTATCTTAAGTGATTCTATTCTCCTTGGAGCAGCATTACCCTCAGAAGATTTTTTAAGTTTTAATTTGGACTGTAAGATTTTATGAAGAGCAAAAACACAAAAGTGGCCTTAACTTTCTGGTGCCTGATTATTTACTAAACAAATCCAAGGACTTGAGATCTCAATCTGCACTCAGACCTAAAGGCCACACCTCTGCTGTACTCTTACTGCTGTGCGCGCGCGCACACACACACACACACACACACACACACACACACACACACACACACACACACAGCATTCAAATTCAGAAGGAAAGATAGGAGCCTGCAGATCTTAGAGGGAGAAGTAATGCAGATGCCTGTTGTTAGAAGAGATCATGGAGACTGTGGAGACCATGCAGACCATGCAGACCATGCAGACCATGAAGACCATGCAGACCATGGAAATCATGCAATGCTTGTTGACTGTAGCGTAAACCCCAGTTCTTCCTAAACATCTGAACATCTCACTCACTCGTTGTTTTACTCAGTTGTCCACACCCATCCAACAATTACACTGAACACCAACTTTGAGTGAAGTCTGTGCAGAGTAAGTAGTGAATGAAGTCAGTCCCTTTCCACTGTGCTCAACCTGCAAAGTAACTTGGGGAACTATGTTATTTCTAAACCACTACACACTGAGTTGCAGACACCCAGCACTAACTTTTTTTTCAGTGAATTTACACACACCACCTTATGTACCCATATATAAACATTTTCCAAGGGGCACAAGGAACCAAAATACTATGAACACAAACAGGATGGCTTCCTGATATCTTGAGGCTTGAATATACTTTCCATGTGCTGTGACACAGAACACAGAATACTACAAAGGAGGTAACACCCTGCTCCATGAGCTCTTGTGCTGCAAGATAATCAAGCTGAGCACTTGACAGCACAAACACACAGGAAGCAATATGCTTCTGCCTACAGTTCTTGATAATCAAAACTCATCTCTTAAGAGTGCTGCTTGTATCACACTAACAGTAATTAGACCAAGTTACATAAAACATACAGCAAATTCCAAATTTGGAAACGGGTTGGATGAGTGAGCCATTTCCAGCTAAGCAGAACTAGCAGCCCTGTCTTACTCGCTCTTTCATAGAAAAAAGCAAAGCACCAACCAGAGAGTTGTCCACTTTAAGATATCCCAGGGAAAAAAAACAGCATGAAACTAAATCTGAAGACCAACTTCCCCAACAAAAGTGACTCAGGAAGGATGTGCGCTACAGTGCTTCAAAGGATGCAAAAATATACTTGCTGATAAGCCCAACAGACGATATTAGGGAAAAAAGCATGCTAACTTCCTAAATGTTACAATCAATGATGTAACTTATATAAGTAGGGTTACTCTGTCACATATTGATAGTTACCTCACTTTCACATCCACATTAACTTGATTTTAAATGCAATTAATACATATAGTCAAGGAAGACTAATGGACTACATTCTGCACTTAACCTGGTAGACATTTTCAAATGGCACAAGTGACCAGTGCAAACCTATTTTGCATTGTAAACGACTAAATAAATCTTAATGGATTAAGAATGATCAGCTATCAACACACAAGGGAAATTAAGTGCTGAAATGCCTACATTGATTATTTTAAATTATTAGCCTTACTCTATTCTTGAATTTGTATGCTTTTAGTGAGCTTTAACACATTTACAAGACTTATTGACTATAATTACAAGAGAATTCAAGTAATGGACACATCAATTATAAGCAACATGTCTTGACCAGACAGTTGCATAAAGAATTCTAAAAAGAGCTCCATTAGCATCTTCCTCTCAGTTTTATTCAGCTTTATCTGACTTAAGAGGGGATGTTAAGAAAACACATATTTTCTATTCGTAAGAACAGCCTGGTACCTAAGATCATGTCATTCCAGAGTATGAGAAGCAACAAGAGAGGTGCTGACCATGCAAACCAGTAAGCACCTAAGTGTGCTCCAGAGGTGCATGTGGCTAGTGGAGAGCAGGCCCCCACACAAGGTCTAAAATGTTTGTATTTACTTCAGCTAATCCTATGTGCCTTCTTCTGTTACTTTCTTCAAGGAAACATTTGTATTTATCTTTAATCGTCATCAACTACTGATAGTGTTCTATATCTTTCTCCTTGTAACCAGTTTCAAAAACTGCAAAAATTTAAAGTATAGATTTAATAATATGCCATTATTTAAAAGTATAGTAAAATAAACCTTACAGTTTTAATGAAAATATGTTCTTTGAAATGTGAATTTATTATTCAAATCCACTCATAAATTCAACCATGTAGACAGAACTTGTCTAAGCAGAGCACAATGATTTAGAAAAGCTGTCTATTTAAAATAAAGAATGTATGGCAGGTTTATAGAAACACTGCACTGAATTTTTACATAAATTTAGAACAGAAGCTTATGCATTTTTCACCAAATATATTTTTAAAAATTTATCCCCAAACTAAACATTAACATGGAATGTTCAATGTATCCAAGTATAGACCCTAAATCAGGTGTTTCCTCAATGAAAACCAAATTTCAACACATATTAAGGAAACCATGTTCACAAATTCTGATCCTTGAAAGTAGAATCTTACTGCTGGGAGTCACACTTGTAGATATAAACTACCTGTTAATAAATGTGTTTAAATTACTAGTATCTTAAGAATCTTATTAAGGGGCAGGAGAGATGACTTCACAGTTTAAAATCCTGGTTTTTCTCCCAGGTTAGACTCCCAGGGGATCCAATGACCTCTTCTGGCTCCCATGGGTACTGCATGCATATGGTACACAGACATACATGCAAGCAAAAATCATAAAAATTAAAAGTTAAAAAATTTCAGGCATCTCTTAAGACAAAAGAATCTTATTAAAGGCTAAAAGCTCCTTAATATGCTCTCCAAAACCACAAAGTATCATTTAATATACACTTTGGAAAACCAAATAATTAGGACAAAACAAATGAAAAGCCATAAAACATGGGAGTTTTACTAAGGTATGTGATGGTGCTTTTTGACAGAAGTAAAGGAAATGGTGTCTACTAATCTGCCTTTAGAATTTTACAGCTGAGTCACCTCTGGAACCATCAAGTGTCAACACTTCTCAGATACAAGTGGAGCATCACACAAACAAATGTGAATCAGGTGGAAGCCCACAAGCAAATTCAAGTAGAGCTCACACTTGGTTGGACCCGAAGTCCAAACTTCACTTATTCTTTTGCACTTCACAGGAAAACAGGGGCTTGCTGCAAGAGTTACATACCTGTATGAGTCCGAATGTGAGCCAGAAAGGCCATGGAATTGCTACTCCGACACATCTTCCCACAATACTTGCAGACATTCCCCTGGTTTTCTTCTCTCTCCCGATTGATCTGCTCAGTGTCTTCCACTATGTACTTATTTACCTCCCGTAGCAATTCCTCATGCTGTCCTTTAATATGCAGAAATAAATTCTGTTCCGAATCAAAGGGCTCTGTACACTTGACACATTTGAAGGTGGCCCCTCCCTCTGGAAGCTCTTCTACACTGGCCTGTTCATTTCTCATATGACCAGCACTAGCCAAATGCTGGTGAAGGTTGCTCTCAGTATAGAAGGATTTTCCACATAGTAAACAATGAAAGTGCTTCTCTTTTGTAGGATGCTTCATGGCTATATGAACATTCAGGCCACTCAGTCCATCTGCTAAAAAACCACAATCATCACATCTGATTCGTGTGGATTCGCCAAAAGAACTGCCTTCAGCTTTCTTCTTCTTCAACCCCTGAGCACAGTCTTTCAGGGGCAACTCACTAACTCTGCCCGCTGTCGCCATCAGACCCTCTTCTGGCTGTTCTACCAATTCACCATCTTCAGTTTTTATTCTAATTATGGAAGAATCAAACTTGCCAAAACTGTACATTGTTTGCTCTTTGTCATCAATACTTATTATAGTTTCATAAACATCATTACTGTCAGCTGTGCCATTAGAGGTTGGGGCATCCTCTTCCAAAATGACTTCAGCTTCATGTTGTGAATTCATCACAATTTCCTTATTCTCAAGAATAGGATTTGCTTGAACATCTTTTAAATCTTCTGAAGTCTGTTCACATCCAACCTTGTTCTGGCTTTCGACATCCAGGTCCAGTTGTTCTCTTGGTATTTTCATCACCACAGGGGAAGTGGATTCAGCTGAATGGCCCCCATCTAGGTCTCCAGGGCAAGGGGACTTGTCAAGAATTTTTCCTTCACTATCATCCCTGCTGCCTCCCTCATCTTCACAATGTGTACTTGTATCACCAACATCATCCAACACGTCGTGGTTTTTCTTTGCTGTCTCACAATCCACAGCAGAGCTTACTAGGTTTTCACTTTGAACACAGCCTGGGGAGCTGTGGTTAGAGGAAGTGTTAAGGGACACTATCTCCCTGGGTTTCATACTTTTGTCCTTAACAAGGTGCAAGGTCTCACAAAAGGAATGATCTTCACTAAAATTAGATTCTTGCTCAGTAACAACTGCCACTGAATCAGGAGTACAGAGTACTTTAGATATATCTAAATTAGTATTGTCATCTAAAATAGAACAATCTGGAGGATTTCTAGATTGGAGAGTGCCAGATGATTGCTGTGGATTTATTTGAAATTCCTCAGAATTTTGTGAATGCTCCTCCTCCAGTATACTGATGTTCTTGGATATTTCTGAAGAACCTGCTTCCACATTAGAAGAGCTGAGGTAAGACTGCCTTTTCAGTTTATGCTTCTCTGTTGCAGCATGCCTAGTCATCTCTCTGCGAGTCACCGCATAGTAATCACAGGCCATGCAATAAAACTCAAATTCTTTGGTATGCTTCCTTTTCACATGCAGCTCTAGAGAAGCAGCAGAGTGAGCATTGAACTCACAGTGTAGACATTTATTGTCACTTGAACCTGCAACATCTCTCTGAGAACATGTGTCATCATGCTGTAGAGGGTCCTCTGTCTCTGGAGATATCTGTCCCTTTTTATCAGAGAGTTGACTGCTAACTTCTCCATCTACAGAATGGAATACATTTCCAGCCTCAACATCACCTGCATTTCCATTATCTACCACTGGCTTTTCTAAAGTAGATATATCTAACTTAGCTGACTTGTTAGCCTGCTCATTAGAATCAGTCACTGCTAGAGGGGTGTTCTTCTTACATGCTTCAAGATTACCCCCTTCTGGGCCAACTATTATATCTGAACTTTGTTTCCCATTTGCTTCTATTTCTACCCGTCCTTTATGTTTCTTGGTAGCACAATGACGTTCCATATCTCCTTTGGTTACAGTATAATACTTACATACTTTGCACAAATAACTATACTGGTGACTGTGTTTACGCCTGATGTGCACTGTCAAATTTGTAATACTAGAGGCCAAAAGTCCACAGTGTGAACAAGTCCGAGAAATGCTGCCTTTGGGCCTCCCTCTCTTTGGAGTAGTGGCTAAGCCTAATTCATCCTCTTTGGTGCTAACACCAGACTGTGGCAGTTCCTTAGGTGTTAGCATACTCTGTTCACGATGGAAATGCTCCTGTAATCGAACACCAACATGGCCTTCAGGCCTTCCACATCCAGAAACACTGGACTCTTCTTTTTTATCATTTGCACCTATACATACTCTTTCAATGCACTCTTCAAAACTTAAACCAATATTGTTTTTCTTAGCATTTTCAAGATGTTTGCTTCTTTTAATGTGCTTCTCCATTCCTTCTTTACTCAATGAATAAAGATTACAAGCTTTACAAAGAAAGTGATAGTCCTGACCATGCCGAAGCTTTATGTGTCTCGTAAGGACAGTGGAAGACCTTGTTTTATAAAAACACTTCTTACACTGAAACTGAGGCTTACTTGAATGCCTTGCTTCAGTTCCGTGGCTTGCTCTGGACTCAACAGGTTCTTCCTGAGCTGCTTTCCCTGAGTCTTCTCTAGAATCTGCCATGTTTTCTGACTCTAAAGTACTTAAAGGTAAAACAGAATCACTACTCAATGATGAAGCAGTCTTTGGTTGAACCACTAAACTATTATGTGTCTCAGTTGCTCTGTGTTCTTCCACATCTTTCTCAGACAAGAATAGATTACAAGAGGTGCAGAAAAAGCCCATGTCATGCTTCTCCTTCATATGGTCTCTAAGACTCGTTTCATTCAAGGAAATAAAGGAACAACACTGACAGCTGAGGACGGGTGTCATTTGCTGATGTTGATTACTGTGTAAATGTTCCTCCAAGTCTCTCCTTAATGGACTAGAAAAGTCACAAGTTTGACAATGAAACTGCATTTCTCTTCCATGGCACTTTTTAACATGAATTTCGAAGTCTGCCTTGTTTGCAGCTATCTGACCACACTCTGTACAGGTACACTCCACAGAGAGCTGGTGGTCAGCCGACTTTACTGGCAGGGAGTCCAGCCGTGTGGAGCCTGAAAGGCAGGAAGCTGTCTTGTCCTGCATCACTTGTGGGTTGTCTGAGGTAGTCACACACAAACTTTGAACATCTCTGCTCATCTCTATTTGTTCCGGTACTGGCTGTGCATTTGTTCTCATCTGTGTTCTGAAGTGCTTCATATACATCCTCTGAGTTTCATTTGTACCCCTTTTATTAATTCCTAGAAGATTAAACCTTTTCTTTGTCTGGCCCTTTAAAGTAAAAGTGCCACTTCGTCTGCGAAAGCTATTACCCAACATTAGAAGGTTTCGATCAGATCTTGGCCTTGAGGTGGTACTGATACTGACATGTGTCGTCTGCAGAGCATTTATAGTGGATTCTGATTTATTTAAAAGACCCTCTGAGCTTACTAAACCACCTAGCTTTTTGTTGTGATTTTCAGGATTTCGAGCTACACCAAAACTAACATTTTCCTCAACTACATCTGCTTCCCCTGATGACATTTTCCTAGACGGCACCATTTCAACAAGGAGCTCACTACTACCAACACTGTCTTCAGAAGGGGCTTCTCTGCAGTCTTTAAACTTGTTCCCAGTATTCTGTACTCCTTTTGAATCCCCATTCCTTGCAATTGGTTTAGAAGCTCTTGGTTTTGTTCTAACATTTTTTGTTCCCATGACACAAGCTTTTTTAGGAAAAGATTGTTTTGTTAAGATCTGTACAAATCCTCCACGAGCAGCAAGGTTCTGACGACGAAGGTGAGTTTTGCCAAGATAATGTGCATTCAACAGGTTTTCTTCAGCACACTGAAAGCCACAGAGATCACAGGAAAAGACTTTCTGTGCCCCGTGAGCATGTCTGACACGCACATGAGGAGATGAGCTGCTCTCTGCTCTGTGGCTACAGTGGCAGCAGGCACGCTCCTTCCCCTGTTCCACATGACATTCCACATGCTTTTCCAAAGCAGAGCAAGAGGAAAATGAACAGCCACATACACCACACCTGAGTCCTGTCTCTACACTTCCAAAGCTACAATTAATGCTCATTTCTTCTGGAGGAAAAGGAGTGTGTTTTTCAGGAACAAGGGAAACCATTTCCTGAGCAGGCTTTTTCACTTCATCTACTTTCAGGGGAAGAGTATCAGATGTGCTAAAATCACAGGATGAGGAGAAAACATTGGGAAGAGCTCTGCCTCCTTCTGAGAAGTTTGAAGGAAAGGCCTCCTTTTCTATTTCAGCCAAATGGACATTAACTTCCACAGTGTCCGACCCACAGGCACCCTGTTCTCTTGTCTCGGGCTCCACTGCCTCTGTTCTAAGTCGTTTGGAAGCACGTTCATTTCTGTCTTCCTCTACAGTAATACTGTCGGAGTTGGCCGATTCTGAAAAAACTCTTTTGCTCGTAAAATTCTCAGAGGCATTTGCTATGTCATCAGATACAGGCCCACAACTGTCATCATGGGATGAAACATTCCTTGGATCTTTTGCTCCCTTAACACTTTCATCCTCATCATTTTCATGTTTGTTCTCAGAATCCATTCTCAATAAAGTTCTGATGATGTTTCTTCTGTCAAATTTGGATTTAACTGGAGCTTACAACCTGTGAAATAAACAGACATGGCATTAAAGCTTTGAACATAAAGAAAACACAAAACTCTTACTCTGGACCTGAAGGAGAAAAACATGATGAAATTAACCTTCATACTTGACTGAATCTGACCACAAGTCTAAAGTTCTAAAGGCAATCTTGCTATGTGTGGTGCTTCATACCTGTAATCCCAACAACCAGGTCAAGATGACTGCCTTATGATCAAGGTCCCAATCTAGGTTACAGAGTGACTACCAGGGCCAAGCCAGGCTACAACAGAGAAAGAGGAGGAGGAAGAAGAAGAAAAGGAAAAGGAAGAGGAGGTGGAAGAGGAAGCAGCAGGAACAACAGCAACCAAATCTGTGGACCCCTGCTGACTCACGAAGACTAACTACTAAGCATCTTGGTGGGGAAATAGGAATACTCTCTATCAGCTTCCAAAAGTTTTTATGTTTCAATTCTCTGAAATAGTAGATTTCAGTTGACTTCTTTTTAAACCAAGAAGAAGCCTTTCTTTTGAACTACGTTTTGGGAGTAATTACGTTTGGGAGTAATTACGAATTACTCCCATTCTATGAAACAGATGAAAACAAAACCGGTGATCTGAGTCTAGAGGCCCTGCCTTCCCTCTGTGGCCTCTCAAGGAGAACCAAATGCTTCAGCTTTATCTGCTTTGCCTCTTCCCCTAAAGCAAAGCCTTACCACAGCTGTCCTCAGGAGACCTTAAGTGATACCATACATACTCAAATCACAGATCACCACTCACCCTAAGTCTTTGCCAATGAAAAGCCCTCCTCCTGCAGGTGGCAATCAATTTTCTTATCTCACAGTCATTTTTGTGTTGTTTGAAGATTAACAGTAAAGGGAAATGTCAGTGGTACAAAATAACAGAGTATGTTTTGGAGAAGGGAATTATCCTGAATAAAATGCCTTAAAATCAATATTATTGATTTTACTTTTCATTATGATAGTTAATTAAATTAACACATATCATTTTCCATTTATTTTATACTATGATTGAAATTTTTAGCCAAATGTGATTTTATTTGATGTTAATAAAAAGTCATCAATATATCATGGTCTCAAACGTAATGACATTTTTTAACTATTTAGCCACTTTTTCCATAAATGACAAATAAAAATAAAGCCTTACTTACTTAAAAGTAAAAAACAAAAAAATCTAAGGCAAAAAAAAATAATGTCTAAGACAAGAATCAAATAAATAAATAACAGAAGAAAAAAGTCAGACTTTTTTCTAAATTAAAACCTCCAAAGACACTATGCTATAAAGGTCACCAATTAGAAAGTATAACAAGAACTCTGGAATAGGAGTGTTTTTTTAATCATATATCTGATAAAAACATTTGCTCCTAGACTATTCAAAGAACTCTTACAACAACTCCAAAATAAACAAAGAATCTGGTTATAAACTTATCCAAGGGAAATACAAAAATGGCCAACAGCACATGAAAGAAAAAAAAATAGTAACAATACATCACTAGCCCTTAGAGAAATCCAGTCAGGACCAGAATGAGATGCTGTTTTCCAGCTTCTAGAATAGATATGAACAAAAAGTCAGATCGAAATGAAATTCAATCACAGGAGCCTATAGCACAGCACCAGAGAGTTCAAAACATGATGGCCATTTGAGTCAAGCAAGGCAAGTCTGAGCAGCACAGCAGGACTTTGTCTTAAAAAAACAAAAGCTAATCACAACAAATGTTATGAGGGTATGGAGCAACCAAAAGCTTCCCACACTGCTAATGGGGGTAGAAGAAAAACAAAGAGGCTCAGGTATCCAGAGGAGCTTCACAAATATTATTGTCAAGATACAAGCTCAGAGTTGGCAAAAATGTCTCAGCAGTTAAAAGCACTTGGCATCAAACCTAAGTGCCAAACTTAGAAACCCCATGATAGGAAAGAAAATACCATCATCCTCAAAAAATTGTCCCTCTGACCTCCAGAGGCTGTGACACACATGTGCATGAACAAAAGTACTATTAAAAAGTGGAGAACTAGAGGCAGGACAGTGGTGGTGCACACCCTTAATGCCAGAACTCGGGAGGCAGAGGCCCATTGATCTATGTGCCAGCCTGGTCTACAGAGTAAGTTCCAGGACAGCCAAGGGCTACATAGTGAGACCTGGTCTCAGGGGAATAAAGGTAGGGGTGAGAAGACAAAGCTCTGGAGCTGCAGATACAGTTTAGCAGTAGTGTTGACCTGGCATGCAGGAGGCCCTAGACTCAAACCCAGTACTGTCAAAAATGATTTTAAGATACAGAGCTGTCACTCAATATTCCCTAAAGATGTCTCCTGCAAGCCCTTTACAGTCCACTTCTCCAGAAGCACACCTCACTCCTCACCAAAGCACACCCAAGTTACATCCCAACTACAGGTTAAAATTCTTCCACAGTAGGTAGGCAAGTCTGTCCTAGAAGTTCCTGAGAGGATTCATACATAACAAGGATTGTGGGGGAAGAGGGTCTGGCTGCATTTTGCTCAGAAAGATGTTCTTGGCCGCATGTGCCAGTTCAATGTCTGGCTGACTGCTGAGTGTGACCAACTGCATAGATACAGCAGAACTCTGCTGATGGACATCTTATCTATTTCTTTTTGTTGCTACTATGATTAAAAATCTTGCCAGCATCCATATACATGTCTTTTCACAAATACAGTTTTCATTTCTTTTAAGTAAATACCTAGACCAGATCTAACTTTATGAGAAACTAACCAATTTCAAAGTAGTTGTATTAAACTGCCACGTGGCATGTGTGAGATCCCACCAGGAGTGTATGTCCATCTGTTAAATTCAGTCATGCTAGTGGGTATGTACAACAATGACAGCTCATGTGCTTTGTTGGTCTTTTGCTCATTTCTTAAGTTGGTTCTTTCTTTTTCTTATTGAGCAGCAGAATTTTCACATGGATTCCAACTGTGAAATCAACTGTCAGATATGTTCCATAGTATTTTATCCCTTTTCATTTTAATTACTTTTTCATTTTATTATATTTTTCATTTTATGATATTTTATATAAAAAGAAGCTTTAAACTTTGATGAAATCAATACCTTTCCTGTTGTGGTTATTTGTGCATATGATTATCTATTTCTCCAATGCCTGAATGTAAACTATGGTTTATTTTACTCACCCATATATCCCAAAGCCCTACAACATTTCAGGTACTTATATACTACTAAAATGAATAATGGCACACACCTTTAAACCTGGTACTTGAGGGGCAAAAAAAGGGGGAATCTTTGTGAGTTCAAGGCCAGAGTGGTCTGTATAGTGAGTTCCAGGACAACCAGCTCTATACAGTGAGATCCAATAGATAAATAGGTAGATTGACAGACAGACAGACAGACAGACAGACAGAAGATAAGTAAGATAACTTATCTTACCTTGCCACATAAGATAAGTCTGGTACCCACATATTTACAAATGAAATACAAAATGTCTAGGATGTACTTCAAAAACATCCAGATGAGGAATATAAAGCAAACTGCTGATGATTATTTAAAAGTGAGTAAAGGCACACAGCGATTCATTTTATCATTCTATCAACAGTGCACCAAAGAACAGAAGGATGTGTGTTCAGAGTGCATATTATGTTACAAGCACAAGTCCAATGCAGACAGTGGCAAAACAATGAAATTCTTAATTATATTCTATATAATGGCTCAAAAAGCCCTAAAACAAGAGGGAAAATATCATAACATTTGCTGTTTTTCAGTAGCTTTTTAGGTTAATGAAATTATCCAACATCTCATTACATGAAAATAACAAAAAAATCTAACAGCACACACACACAAACACACACACACACACACTGTCCACCCTATCAAACTACTCCACAATGATACAAATTCATTATCTACTAGAACACGTTCTACTGGAATGTACCTGATGTGTATAAAGCCACATATAATAAGAAGATAAATGAAGGGCCGGGCGGTGGTGGCGCACGCCTTTAATCCCAGCACTTGGGAGGCAGAGGCAGGCGGATTTCTGAGTTCGAGGCCAGCCTGGTCTACAGAGTGAGTTCCAGGACAGCCAGGGCTATACAGAGAAACCCTGTCTCGAAAATCCAAAAAAAAACAAAAAAAAAAAAGAAGATAAATGAGCAAAAATCATACATACCATTCAATCTAACTGAATAGTTTATTAAATCTTTGAAGAAAATTAAATCTGCATGGGGTTGGGGGGGTACGTCAAAGTTTACTATTTTGAATTAGGTTTGGATATTGTTGCTTTGCTGAGAAAGTAGGTAGAAACAGTTAACTGCTTCAAGCGGAAGCTCAATTGGCCAAAGACTCTAACAAATGTATGGAGCATGAAGGACAGACAGCTCTGCACAGGCCAGCTTTCTATCACACACAGCAGTTTACAAAACAGGCAGCTGATCAACCCATCCCAAATCACAGCCACTATTTCTGAAAAAATTAACACTCAAGGTCATCAATGGAGCCAGGAGCCATCTAGAGACACAAAGAGTTTGCCGCAGTCGTTAAGTTATAGTCTAGAATGGAAACGGAGTGGGCAGGAGTGCAGAGTAGTTTTAATAAGTACTTTAAAGTGATGTAAAAGGGATTAAGCGGAAATGAGAGTTCATGCTAATACAGGCTTTAAAAATTCATTAGAAAGGTTATTAGAACAAGTATCACATTCCCAGTGGAGATGGGAACAAGATCATCTTCTTTCTTGAAACATTCAAAGATCACCTGAATACAACCATTAAAGGGCTCATTTTTCTGAAGCAGATTTTATTCATTCATACAACAAACACTTACTAAAAACTTACTATTATCTGAAAGCACCCTGATTCTCCTAGCAACAAAATTTAAAAAAAGGTATAATCTCCTTCTTGACACACTGTCATTTGTAAAACTATAAAAAATAAAATAAAATAAATAAAATGAATTTTAGAAGTCTTCCCTCAGCTGAGATTCAAGACTGAAGACTTAGTACGCATGTGGACTAAGACGGTGGAAACAAGCACAGAGAGATGGCTTA